CATACAGAGGTCAGAGGCTGGGGTCGCCCAGTCTGGCGCCAGAGGCCTTCGAACACGGCTGCTGTCGGGGTCTTGTTGAGGGGCGGGGGGGGGGGGACATACGGGCAGCGGGCACCTGGGACCACCTCCCGTAAGGCACTGCCCTAGCCCCAGCCCAGCGTCCCTCCCACTCACTGGATGGTGCATTTGTCCCGCTCACGGGCCTGGCCCTCCCGAAGGACCTTGGCCTTGATGTACTTGAGGTCACTGTTGACGCTGGGGCGGCGGGCAAAGGGCGAGACCATGCCGTAGGCGTCCATGTCCTTGACGCGGCGCATGCAGAAGGGCCTGGGGTGGAAGGCGTCCCCGTACTGCACGGAGATCTTGCGGTGCAGGGCGGGGCTCATCTCGTGGGGCAGCTTGGCCATGCTGAAGAGCACGTAGAACATCTCATCCACGTTGGTGTTCTTCTTGGCCGACACCTCGAAGTAGGCGCAGTTCTCGTCCCCGGACACCAGCAGCTCGGCCTCGGTGGTGGGTACCTGACGGCAGAGCTCGCCATGGTCATTCTTGTTGCCGCAGATGACCATGGGCAGCTCCGCCGCCTCCTTGGTCTTGTTCTTCAGGCAGGACTTGACCTCCAGGATCTGCTTCTGGAGGCGCTTGACTTCGTCAAAGGACTCGCGGTTATCCAGGCTGAACACCAGGATGAAAACATCACCTGCGGGGAGAGGGACCCAGGTGGTGAGACCACCCCTCCCAGTCACTGACTCAACCCTCCCAGCCTAAGGGGGAGTGGCTGTTCTCCCCATTTTCCAGAGCAGGAGGCTGAGGCCCAGAGGCTCAAAGCCCTTGTTCACGGTCACACAGCGAACGTGTGGCTCAGCCTGGCTCAGACACAGTTCATCCCCCCCGACACTTCCCTGCAGGGCTGGAGATAGAGCGAGTTGCTTGTGAATTTGTGCAGACTGTGTTAGAATAATAATAATAAATACAATTTTCATGGCAACAGGGGTCTTGCCCGACTTGTTCAGAGCACATCCCCCGGGCCTGGAATCGTGCCCGACACATCGTAGGAGCTCAGAGTGCTGGCACCTGGCAGGCCTCGGTTCACATCTGGCCCCCTGCCACTTACTGGCCCCGCAGCCTGGGGAAGGTCAGGCAGCCTCTCTAAACCTTAATTTTCTCCATCTGTCCCACGTGGATGAAATACACCTCCTTGTGAGGGTTTCACCGGGTAATGAACGGAGAGTGGCCCAGGCTCAGAGGTCTTAGGTATCGAGATGACAAGGGGAACGAGCCCCTGCGAGAGCCAGTGTGGGTCACGTGCTTCATGCACACTTTCCTCCCCGACTCCTCCCAAAACCTCTGCGGTGGGCATTTCAGTACCTTCCTGGTATAGGTGAGCAAACAGAGGCTCAGAAAGGGCGAGCAACCTGCCCAAAATCACACAGGGTGGACATGGCTAGGCCGAGACGTGGACCTGCTGCTGTCCTTACCTAGCCACTGCCTGGCACACGCAGGTGCTCTCTGCTTCTTGAATAAACCATGGATGAATAAGTGAGTGCTAGCCTCCAAGACCCATGCGGTCCCTGCTTCAACTCACTGCATTACTCAAGACAAGTCTTTGGGTCTGAAATGGGCCATGCAGGGGTGGCGGGGGCGGGGGCAAGGAGAGAGAGACCAGGCAGTGCCTACATCCCAATCTCTGGATGTTACTACTGGGATTATGGCTCACGCTCAAACTTTGGCTTCAGTTCGAAAGAACCGGTGGGGAGATGTCAAAAATCCCTGTTTCCCAGACAAGGAAACTGAGGCTCAGAGGCCCATGCCACATTCAGAACCACGCTCCAGCCAATGGTATACCCTTCACCATGCACTCCGGGACAGAAGGAGATGGTGTCACCCACGACCTTGTCCCCCAGCACCCAGCACACAGTGGGTGTCCATAAAACTGGGTGAATGGGCAGGGTGGGATGGGAACAATGGGGGTGGGGGCTGCGGAGAGAGGCACTTGCCAGGTGGCCCCAGCCTGGCAACCGTGTCTGCCTGGGCTGCCAACCCCATCCCGTTAGGCTAAGCCTGGGCCCCTGAGGACTCGGCAGCCTTGACATATTCAAATGCAAGACCGCGATGCCAAGCTTCAGAGACAGCGTGGCTGGCAGCTGGAAAGAGAGCTGGCGGCAGAATTAATGGCTTTCAGAACTTCCTGCGCACCAGCACCAGGTCGGAAAATGAGGCACGGGCTGGTGAGTGAAAAAAGCAAGCAGCAGACAGATGTGCTCCGAATCGTTAAGTGCACGTTGAAAAGAGACGGGCAAAAACCCTCCCTGTTACGAAGACGATACAAATATAAAGGTCAGTGTGTTCGTGGGGGGTCCAGAAGTGTCCCACCAGACTGATGGGGTGGTCACATCCGGGGAGGGGACAAGAGCCTGGCGTTGGGGACACAGGTCAAAGGGGCTTCTTTAGGCTTCTCTGTGTTTACAGGAGGGTGTGTTTGCATATCATTGATGTAATTAAAAAATGAATTTTGGAAATATGCACATGGTCCTCCTCCACATCTCTCTCCCTCCCTCTGATGTTAGCCTTAATTATATTGGTGGGCACCCAGTCTGCTCCCCAAGCCAAGGAGAGCGGACATCCCTGCACCCCCACCAGGTGGCTGGAAGTTTCCCCACAGCCACACTGGGGGGAACCAAGCCGATGTCCATTGTACGGCTGGGGAGACTGAGACTCAGACCTCTGGTCACATATCGGAGCCACCAAGTGGCTCCAGGTCAACCCAGGGCTCCTTCTATCCACACATGGCCTCTCCAAAATATGGGGTGGGGGGTCCAAGTGTGATGTGGGTCAGACGGTCAGCAAGGACAGCCTGCAGGAAGAAGCCATCTGCCCAGGGTGCTCAAGGAGGGGGCTCGGCCAGGGTACAGGGGCAGGAGTGCGCATGGCGTGGGTTTCTTGGTGCAAGAACATCTCCGTTTGGGGGGTTATTTTAGTGATGGATAGAGGGGCACTTGCTCATTCCTTCCCTTCATCACTGCCCAGCAGCGGGAGAAACATGGCTTAGGAAAGGACTCTGCCTAGCCCTGAGCAGGCACTCTATAAATGCTGGGTTAATTTAAGACCAGTGTTTACCGAGCACTTACTCTCTGTTCACCAAGCACTTCTGCTGTATTAACTCATTTACTTCTCACAGTGACCTTTGGGGTGGGCACTGACGTGATGCTCTCACACAGAGAAAGCCAAGCCACAGACAGATAAAGTCACTTGCCCAGAGGTACAAAACCAGGAAGCCGCTGCCCCAGGCGGCCCAGTTTCTGGCCCGCCCTCCTATAGCCGCCATGCAAAACTGCCTGAGTAATGCCCAGTCCTGCATCTCCACGCGCCCCCTTAATCCCTGACAATCTCCCTTCCCTCCCCACCATTCCCAGCAGGGCCAAGAGACTACGGGACAGTTTAGTGGTAGAGAATAAGAGCCAGACGGCCAGGGACCACCTGTGTTACCACCTGGACTAACTTAACCTCTCTGGGCCTCCGTTTCCCCACTTGTAAAGTGGAAGCAAAGATCCATCTCCTAGATTAATTGTGAGGATGAAATAAATCCATGCCAAGCTCTAAGAATGGGCCCAGGCACACAGCTTGATAAGCATTAGCTATTGCCACCACTGTTCCTCTGATTACTACTGAGCTCCCGGCCCGGGCAGGGCTCCTGCCTACCCTTTGACTGACCGCTGCCCGGGTCCTGCCCTTACTGAGACAGCAAAGGCCTGGGGTGTCAAGAGATCTGAGGCCAGCAGACTGACCCTGGGCCCCGGAGCTCTGCTGGGCTACCTCCAGCAGGAGAGTTCCCAGAGAGGACTACCCACCCCCCGCCCCCCATAACCGCCCATGACAACTCCCGCTCTTCTGGAAGGCAGCCCTGCAGGACTCGATCCACAGCCAGCCAGAGTGGAATTCGGGCCCCAGCTCGATCATCTGCTCAGGCAAGCAGCTGCCCTCTCTGCCCCTCCAGGCGCACCCCACCCGGGAGGCTTGTTGTGAGTGGACATGCCCACCCCGGGCACCCACCTGTGAGGATGGAGAGTCTGCGCATGGCAGGGAAGGGGTGGTTGCCGGACGTGTCCAGGATGTCCAGCTGGTACATGTCGCCTCGGATGTTGTAGACCTTTCGGTGGAAGTCCTCGATGGTGGGCGTGTACTGGTCCTCGAAGCGGCCGTTGAGGAAGCGGGAGACAATAGAGCTCTTGCCCACCCGTGAGGCGCCCAGCACCACCATACGGTACGAGTTCTTGGCGGGCACGCTGAGCGTGCAGTTCCCGCTGGACAAGGTCTTCATCATGGCTCGGGCCGGCGGCATGGAGCGGGGAGCCGATGTCAGGAGGCCCTGCACCCGGCCCTGCAGCCTCTTGCTGGCAGCCTTGGCCTCGTCTGCGTGGCTCCGGTCTAGGTGTCCGTTTTCTGTCTGTAAGATGGGGACGTTAGACTGAGGTGTCTCTAGGGGGCCTTGCAGCCCTGCCGGCTCTGTCATTCATGTCCTCCCCGGCCTCCTTCCTCCGCATCCACCCACCCCACAGGCACTCATCACCCTTGTGTCTGTCCACCCCTTGTTTATCCCGGCCCAGGACTGCTGGGGCCGGAATTTCTGCTTTACCCCGGCTCCCTATTGCTCTCGGGCAAGCAGGTAGCTTTGCAGAGGCCCCTTTGACCTGAGAGTCACTTCTCTCGTCTATAAAAGGGACTCTGCTCCCAGGGCTGTTGCACATGCTGAGGTCATAAAACGTTAACTCTTGCTAGAACCTGATCTCTCCCTGGCCCCTCGGTCCTGTCCTACTCTGGCCTCCCAGGAGCTGTGACTCCAGGGCATGACCTGGGGAACGCACTAGAAAGCGTTTCTTAGGCCGGGGCCTAAGGCCGTTTCAGGCCTTCCCAGAAACAGGGAAAAGGCCACGTCCAGACCACATCCTCCCCAGCCAGGGCCCAGCGATTTAAGCACCAGGCCCTGGGAATTTGCTCACTTCGGAGATCCAGAGACCTGGCCTAGGGGATGTGGGTCAGAGAAATAACCCAGGAACAACTCGAGCCCCTCAGAGCTCCAAGTGTTTATGGTCCTGGGGTATACCCAGAACTTGCTATGGGGGCTTCTCAGCCTTGTGGAAGAGACTGAAACGGGTCCCGGCTCCAAAGCCCAAATGGAGATAAATAACCCCCCAGGGCTCCAACAGCCCCACCCCAAAGGCCAGTCACAGCCCCGCCACCCTCCTTCCCTCCGTCAGCACCCACCAGAATCCACTTAGAATCCCTGAGCCCATCTCTCTGTTGGAGCTCTGTTGAGATCTGCCTCCACTTCTTAGCTCGTGCTAGTCCCTCTGCCAGAACACCCTCTTCTCTTTATGTTTCAGGGCCTGCCTCAAATACCACCTCCTCTCTGAAGGCTTCTCTGGCTCCCCAGCCCACCCCAGCAGGAATCCCTCCCCTCTCTAGAGAAAAGGAACCAGAAATGGATACAGGCCCGCTGGAATATCAGTCCCCTCTGCCCTCAGCCTGTGGCCACACACGGTTGTGCAGGCTGGGCACTGCACAAGGCACCCAGCTGGGTGGGAAAGTAGGGGCTGTCTTTGTGGAGTTCATCTGCCCAGAGAAGGCACCTCTTTTCAATGTGCACTGGGAGCTGTACAGACCAGCTCCCATTGGTCCGCACCCCTGGCTGCTCCAGCTCAGGAGCCTGGAATGCCTCATCCACTTACTCCAAGGCTCTCTCCAACATCACATTGTTCTCTGCCCTTATAGTAAGAGACTGGAGGTGGAGAGACCTGTGTGTGAGTCTCCTGGCATACGTCCTGTTCGGGGCATTCAGGCATCTGCCTCTGCTCGCCCTGCCCAGCCGAGAGCCACTGTGCAGTAAACCAGCTCTCAAAAAATACCTTTTTAAGACGCTTTTATTGGTAGCATTTATCAACCTCCGTGGCACACACATTCCCACCACGGCCAATTCCCAGCTACCAAGAGGATCTCGATGAATGAATTGCAAAGAGATGCACACAATAAGCCCGCTCTGCACACTGCTGACCCTAAGCCTGGAGCCCTGACAATCACCATTAGCCAAGCCCCCGCCGTGTGCCGAGCACTGTGCTAAGTACAGAACAAAAACAGGAGCTGACATTGACCTTGCAGTCAACGTATACCAGAGTGTTCTAAGCGCTCTGATTAACGTGTACTCATTTGCTCCACCCTTCAGTAACCCCAGAAGGAAGGTGGTGTTCCCCCAGGTTACAGGAGAGGATCCTGAGGCCCAGAGAAGTTTAGTAACTGCTCATGGTCACACAGCCAGTAACCAGCGAAGGAGAGATCTGACCCCAGGCCATCTGCCCCACGCAACGGAGCCTCCTCACCACCTCCCTCCAAGGAAGATATTATCTGCCCATTCCACAAATAAGGACTCTGATACTTAAAAAGTCTCCTTGACTGGCCCATGTAGTTAATAAGGGAACCAGGACAGTGACTCCATGACGAAGACCACCACATCCCCCTCTAGTTCATGCCTGCGGCCATCTCTCAATTGATCCCACAGGATTTCAGCACCATGTACACAGCAAGTGCTCAATAAATGATCCAGGAATGAACGAAGCAAAAGGGTCTGCCTTTGGAGCTCACCTGCAGCTGCCTTCTGAGGCCCTGCGCCTCCTCTCCTGCCCTGCCTGGCTGGCCCAGGTGCTGTGCTGAGGGTCTCTGTGCCCCGGACACACCTGTGGGTGCGCAGTGGGGAGAGGGGGCTCAAGTCTTCTCGGCAAGCCAGCCTGGGCCGTCAGCAGAGACGGGAGGGAAAGAGGCGCCACACCACGACAGCCCCCTCCCCGGTCCCTCTGCAGGGAGCTGGATTCTGCTGTGATCACCTCTGTCTAGACAGAGAGGGAAGGAGGCCAGCAGCCCCCAGGGACAATGCTAGTCCCCATCACCGCCTGCCCAGCTTCTAGCCCGGAGCTCCTGGTACAGACGTGCTAGGATCAGTGGCTGAAGGGGCCTGAGCAAGTCGGAGAGGAGAGGCTGAGAGGCTGAGAGTCAGAGAGGAGACGGGGCCTCAGAAAGAGGCCGGGGGGCGGGGGCGGGTAAGTGGCTTTCTTCTCTGACAGAAGACTGTGAGTCTTCACGTGGCCCTAGCCACGTGGGGCTGTGTGTGGCACCCAGACACCTGGACGCCAGCTGACGGCGCTTCCGTGAGCCCCACCTCCTGTCCCCATATCTTCCTTCCCTCTCCTCCCCACGAGGCGGCACAGGGGGCCGCTGTGGGCATGGCTTCTCTCCTCTGCTGCTGGCTCTCCACTCTCCATCCTCAGCCGGGCCGACCTCACACAGCGAGGAGCAGAGGGCCAGCAGAGGGCCAGGGGCCGTTCGAGAATGTAGAGCCCAACCCTGGAGACTCAGAAGGTGGTTAATGGGGACCCCTCACAGCATGAGAACCCGAAGGTGAGTTCTGTGACGCTCAGCTGACCCCACCCCAGGGCCATTCCCAGGGCCGCCAGGGAGGCAGAAAGTCCCAGAGCAGAGATGGAGCGGGGCCATCCTGGGGGAAGAGTAGTCGAAGCCAGATGGGCTTCCGTCACACCGGGTGCTTCGCATACCTTGTTCCAGTGACCTCCCGACAGTCCCATGAACAGCAGCCCACCATCAATCCGCTGGACTGACGGGAACACTGGGGATCAGCGTGGCTGAGTCACTTGCCCCAGCTCACGCAGATCACCAGCCAGGCCAGGATGAGAATTAGGCTGCTGGGCTCGAAAGCCTGGGCTCTTACCTCCATAAAAACCCACCCCCTGGCCAAAACCAGTCTTTTTCAAAACAGTGCCTGACTCAGGGAAGCCTCAGCTGGCGTCAGGCAGAGGGATGACCCCTGAGGCCTATTAGATTCTCGTTCCCTCTCTCTCCCCGCGGCTGGGAACAGGCACCCTGCCCAGGACTCACCCCCAGCCCTGCCCAGCCGGCTCCCAGCAAATGCACCTGTAGGTTCACCCCTTTCTTCACCCTCAAGCCCCTCGCCCAGGGCCTGCCTGGAAGATGGAGGGGATCAGAGGGACAAGGACATCCGGACAAGAGTGTGGACATGTCCTTCTCCCTGTGAGTCCCCAGAGCTGGGTGCACTGCACCAGTCCCCCCCCGCCCCACTGCCTCCCGCACACCTCAAGCCCCCTCCATTAGCACACATGCCAGTTCTTTGGACATACAGCTTCTTCACTGGCTTCCATCCCTACCCCGAGGGGTGTCCTGGGGGCTTTGCAAAGTCAGCCTCACCACCCTTGGCAGCTCGGGATGGGAGAAAGCAGGCGGCCACTGGCTTCCAGCACACCAGCCCTGCCTCTCACCAGCTCAGCACACTGGGGCAAACGGTTTGGCCTGGTGGGGCTGGTCATCTATCAAATGGCTGTTGTAGAAGCAACCCCATAGGGTGGCCTGGATTGTTCAGCGAGAAGTCAAGAGGCTAATACAGCTCTTGACACGCAGCAAGCGGGTTCCTTTGAGGCACCCCCTCTTGGCATTCAAGGGGTCACCTGGAACTGCCAGGTGCAGTGGGACTGGAGTGCAGGCAGAGGTCTTGGGGGGCCCCATCTTGTCACTAGGACGCCAGGGTAAGCCTGAATCATGGGCTCCTGAGCTGGCTGCCCCATCCCAGCCTGGCCTCCTACCTGCCGCGAATTCTGAACATCCTCTGTCATCCTCCCAGGGCAGGGGGGCAAAGGGAGGAGAGGTCAGAGAGAGCTCCTCAGGGGTACCTGGAGGCCCTCCGGGCCAGCTGAATACAGGAAACATTTCCGGGGCAAAGAATCACCCAGGAAACTCACTCCCTGCACCAACCCCCCCCCCCACCCCACAAAAGCTCAATGAACACTGGACAGGAAGGTGCTCCTTAATCTTCCCTCCTCCCTGATCCTGTGTCCTCATATTTAAATGGCTATTGCTCTAGGTCCCTGAAATGGAAAGCTCCTAGCAACACATCTAGCACATAGTAGAAGCTCAGAACGTCTTTTCCACCTGGGATAGGTAAAGGGCCTAGCACTCAGGCTGACACATAGTAGGTGCTCCACTAGGATCATTTTCTTTAGATGTGTAAAGTTGCCTATGATCCCCACACATAGTAGATGCTCAATCAGCTTAACTTTCCCTGGTCATGCAAAGCTTCCTCTAGCCTTCCTCCCACAAGCCTCAAACCTTTCTATCTGGCTTCCCCCACTTCCGCCAGCTCCCCAGTTCTGTTGGGGTGTCTCTCTCCTACCTGAGAATGGCAGGCTGGGGCTCTGGCACAGCTTGGAGGGCTGCCTGGAAGCGCCTGGAGGTGCGGGGAACTGCTGGCCTCTCCGGCTGCCGCCGCTGCCGCCGCCGAGGCTTCCAGAGTCTGCAGCGGCTCCGGGGTCACTGCGCCGGGCTCCTCCTCTGCGCGGCTCCGGGCGCCGGGCTGGGCGCGGCCGGGCGAGGGGACATGGGGAGCCGGTGCCCCATTGGTGGGTTCCAAGGGCTCAGAGGGGCCTGGGCACCGGGCGGGCTCGGGCTCGCCGCCGGCCCTGCCCTGCCCCGACCCGGGGGACTCCTGCTGAGCCAGGTGCCCGGAGGCGCGGGGACGTCCGATCCCGGGGTCCCCGCCTAGGTCTCCGGGGCTGGGGGAGGGCGGTAGGGGCGAGTCCGGGGCTTTAAGAGGGTCCTTTGGAGCTGCCTGTGGGTGCGTGCGTGTGTGCGCGTCCGGAGTGGGCGAACCTGTGCTGGCCGCCTATGCCACCTTCTCCGCCCGCGCCAAAGGGGGTCGCTCGGGGTGGGGGTGCTGCCCTGCTCGCCGCGGCCTCCTCCTCTGCCTGCAGCTCTGCAGCTCTCCCCGCGCCGGAGGGACGGCTCCTTTCTCCCTGCGAGGCGACGCCAGCAGCTGGAGGAGGAGCAGGGCGCTCAGCTCCGCGCGCGTGTGGGAGGGGGGCCTTGAACGCCGCCCCAAGGTTTCGCACGTAGCTCCGAGTTAGCCTTAAACCCGCTCCTCCTCCCACTTCACCTCCTCTGGCCCTCGGAGGAGGCGAACTTTCTGCGAGCCCAAGCTCCTCCCTCCCTCCGCTGGAGGCGAACGCCCCTCTCTCCCGCAGGGCAAGGTCAATTGTCCCTCCCGAAAGCGGTCGCAGCCGGGGCTCCCGGTGGCGAGCCCAGCTGGCCTGGGCGCTCTCCGCCGCGCCTGCGAGCGTCCCTCCGCGAACCCGTCGCGCAGCGCCCGGCCGCCCCCACCCCGGCCCGCGAGCAGCGGGTCCCGCCGCCCTGCGCCCGCCTCGGCCTGCCGGAGCGCGCTCGCCCGCCTTGCCCGGCGCCCCGCCCCTAGCACTGCGATCGGCCAATGGGCGGCGGGTCCCGCGGCCCGGCCCCGCCCCGCCCCGCCCGCCCAGCCCGCGGCAGCCCGGGCGCCGCAGTCTGGCGCTCCGCGTGCCGGGGCGCGTGGGGCCGGGGCTGCTGCTGGGGCGGCTGGGGCGGCTGGGGGCGCGCACCGTGACCGAAAGGCGGCACCAGCCTCGGGGGCTGACGTCTGCACGCGCATTCGCACGCACACCGCGCCGGCCGCAGGTGACCCGTGAGGGTCCCGCAGCCAGTCGCCCGCCGTCCCCCCAGCCCGCGCGCCAGGACTCCCGCGTCCTCGTCCATCGCGGAAATGCCCAGGTGCCCTGCCGGTGTCCGGCCTGCCCGCCCCGAGATCTCGGGCCCGCGGGACTCTGCGGGATGGCGCGTGAACCCCGCACGTGCCGCCCGGAGGGGCCGCGGAGTCACCGAGTGGAGGAGGTCTGTGCGCGCAGGTCTCCGAGAGCACTGTAGAGAGAGCCTTGCTGGGATGAGCCGGGTGCCTTGGGCATTCAACTCCATTCTCCCTGCCTTGACCTAGGGCAGACATCAGTCGTTCCTATTATGCCATATCTAGACATCACTTATTACTTAGTATTTTCTTAAGTCCAAGACCCACTCTCCCCCCAACACATTTTTTTTAGAGGATCGTTATATCACTGCCTTAAATGGGAAGCCAGTATCACTTGCCATAAATAGAAGGTAAGAGTAAAAATAAACACAGTGAAAACAAACCAAGGTTATTAAATTCTAGTTGGAAACTCACATGCCAGGGCTTGAGAAGTGCCTTCAGTGAAAGAGGAGAGATTGGCAAAGTTTGGAGAGGTGTGAAAGACCTATTTATTAGCACCCATCAGAGACTTCTTCCTTCATGCTTTCAGGAGGCTGAAAAGAGAATGTTCTCACTGTGTGATAGGGTGAAGGGACACATACTGTCTATCAAACCATATTTTGTATTAGCCAGAGAACTGTCCATCACTTGCAGAACCCTGAACCTGGAGGATGTCTGCCAATCTTCCCTCCACTACCAGACCTATTCTCCCACCTCATGGTGGGTGGTGGGAGTCTGAGGGGCACCAAGCTGAGGGTCCAACTCCAATGGGTGAGAGACTGGCGTTCAAGACCCGCCTCTGTAACCCCTCAAATATTTGGCCCTGGGCCAGTCATGTTTCCATAGCTAGTCCATCTTCAAGGACTAGATGGGGTCACAAAGGGCTGACCTGTACGGTTGTGCAGGTTGCTTACTGGCTCAAGGGCACTTAGCTAAGGAAATTCAGCTTGTGCTTTCCTCTGGGCCTTGGTTGTGTCACCTATAAAATGGGTATGATATGCTAGGTCCACAGAGTGCCACAATCATCTTAGACTTTGATTATAGAAAGTGGCTTGCTCTGCTTTGTCCCTGTGTGGTCTTGAGCTTCCCTAGGGACATCAACCAGAGAATATGGGGTAGGTGGAGGAGGTGGAGAGTGTGGTACTTGCATTACTTGATTATGTTTAGTCCCCCAATCAGAGGATGTGAAATCTGGGCTAGGGCTAAGGGATGTGCCCAACGTCACGCAGTCAGCAAATGGCAGGATCCCAGCCCAGCGCTCTTTCCGCATCCAGACTTTGCTTCTAGGAACTGGCTTCAGCCCAGGAGGGCTTGTGCTCAGCTCGACACACGGAGGCTGTGAGCCTTGAGCTAGCTGTAAGCTGGACAGCAAGAGGCAGGCAAGGTGTCATGCTTCAGCGGGAAGGCTGGCGTCAGAAGCACCCAGGCCTTTGGGCCATTTCTCCCATTCCCATCCGGGAAATGTGGCAGGTGGCTAGCTCTGAGCCAGCCCAATACCCATTACTTGCTGCTTCAGCCCCATCCTCCACTCAGCCGGTCATGCTCCATGGACCTTATCTTGAGGGTTGCTGCACATGGAGCTGCAGGGCCCCGGGAGACCCACCTGCTCCTGTCCCTACCCCTGTCCCTCCTCAAACGCCAAATGGCTCAGTCAATAAGCAGGTGCACATAAGGGATCGATGCCCAAAGAAGCTTCACGTGGCAACAGCACGCTTCCCAGTTCTCCCTCTTTCCTATCCTTCCCCCGCCCATTTGCCTCACCATCTCGAATGGCCCATTTGTTGTCGTCATCTCCCTGCTTAGTGGGCTCCCTGTCCCGCCCCCCCAATCCATGACCACTTTAATCTTTTTCAAAGATATGCCACCCCCTGCTCAAGAATTGTCATGGCTTAAGACATAAAATCTAAACCCCTTAGTCTGGCATCCAAGCCTCCAACCAGGATCTAGTTCCCATTACGTCCCACCATCAGCCTGCATTTCCAGCTAAATCAAACCATTTCCAGGTCCCTCAAGACGTTGGGATTTCCCTCCCCCAGGCCTTTGTGTATCTGATCCCTCTAGCTGGGAGAACTTTTTCTCTATCTTTACTCAGTGAACTTCTACACATCCTTCAAAGCATGGTGTTCACACCTCTCCCCACAGAGCCTCCTAGTGGTGTGAATGTCGTCCTCTTCCGGGATCCCGTGGCAAAACAAAACAAAACAAAAAACCAAAAAACCCAAAACCTTGCTCTTGCATGTAGGTAACTGACCGTTCCTTTAAGCCTCAGTTTCTTTACCTGTAAAGTGGGTGTTATGTATCCACCTTATGGGTTGTTGGGAGGATTAAAATATACTGTAAAGTGCCTCGCACTGGGGGCCCTGCATACAGTAGCCTTCATCATGATTACTTCCTTTATGGCCTATGTCACATCCTGCCATACACTTTGGACATGTGCCTCATCATCCCCATTAGCACGTGAGCTCCTTGGAGTGGGGACAGAGCCTGATTCATCTTCGTATTCCCACATCATTAAGGGCAGCATCTTACACATTGTGCGTTTTTAATAAATGCTTATTGAATTGTGCTCAGCTCAACAGCCACAGAGCAGAAGCAATGCACAAGCTCTCCTTGGAAACAAGAGGAAGGGGAGGGCAGGCACGCACAGCGAGGCAGAGTTCAGTTTAGTTCTCCTAAAAAAACCCCACTTACAGAAGGGGAAACTGAGGCTCAGGGAGGCTGTTCAGAACCAGGCCACGAATGGGAGAGATTCAAAAGACATTTCTCCAAAGGGAAGTAATGTGTTTGCCCAACCAATGTCCTGTCACATCCCTGGCTGCTTTTCTAGAACAGTGGTTCCTATCCCTGGCAGAGAATAAAAATCACCTTGGGGGAGGCTTACGTGATAACAAAGCCCAGGCTCCTGCTCAGAGGCACTGATTTAATTGCTCTGGTGTTGGGCTTGATATCCACACTGTTTAAAGCTCTCCCAAGTGATTCTAATGTGCAGCCTGGTTTGCTCAGTGGTAGAGCGGTGGTTCTCAAAGCATGGTTCCTGGACCAGCAGCATTAGCACTATCTAGAGAACTTGTTAGTAATACAGGTCTCACCCCGGACCCACTGAATGGGAAGATCTGAGGCAAGGCCCAGCCATCGGGGTTTTAACTAGCCCTCCTAGGAATTCCGATGCATGCCAAAGTTTGAGAAACACTGATTAGAAGATTAAAATTGGCAAAACCTTAGCGGTCATGTGGCCCGATCTTTCTGTTTTGAAGACAAAGCAATGGTTGGTGGCTTCACCAAGTTCAACACATGTTACTAGCTGGCTAGACTCAGAGCCCAGGCATCTGAATCAGCCTCGAGCCTTTAGCCCAGGTCATTGGGTCATCAGCAGCATGAGCCCAGCTGGATCAGGAGCATGGGGTCAGGTGCCGGCATTACAGGGCCTTGCCAAACATCCCTTGAGGTGGGAACAATAAGGACGGGTCAGCAGGAACACAGGTGAACCAACCACACCTGTGCCCTTCTTCTCATCTGACCACTTCTGCCTCCTGCTGAGCACAGAGATGGCATTTGTCACGTGGTAAGTATTCAATAAATGTCCAATTGAAATGAATGGATGAAGAGTGGTTAGTTTCTTCTTCTTTGCAACAAGAACATTGGGTCAG